ATTTGGTGCAACTCACTCGACTCAATTAACAATGATTCTCAGAGATCCCATTATTTACTTTAGGATGATTTCCGTTATTACCCTACCCAAAGTCCCAGAACTTAGCTTCAAGTCCAAATTCTTGCGACCCAGACTGGAATCGATTCTTGCACTTCCACAGAATTTCCATCTGGCTAGACCTACTTTTGGGCGGTAAATAGTTAAACCCACTCAGGGGATGCGTCTATCAACTGCCAAGTCCCCTGCATATTAGAGACCCATGTCCTGCTGTATGCGACGCCGAGGTCCGCCTCCAAAGCTAGTGGATCAAGGTTTTTAAATTCTCACCTCCCACGCTTCGAAACAACGGCACCGTACGAGAGCATGCAGATCGGAAACAGATCAAGTCTGATTAACCATTGAGCAGTACCGATGTACTAACACAACCCAGCAGTGGTTTGCATCTATCACTGGATGAACTCAGTCCAGAAAGCGAACCTCACAATGCAAGAAATTGTGGGATTCTCCTGGAGCGCACTGTCTTCAACGATGAACCTTTACTTAGTATTTACCAAGATCGGAATTCCTCGTCAGACCAGTACTTTGAGGCAGTTTAACCGACTTCATTGCTTATCCACATTTTAGAAAGCAAATCCGTCAAACAATCCCAACTACTCCGTCCCCACTTACAAACCGGTCGTCAGTAGAAACTCAACACCGGATGTTGCAATGCAATAAAACCAGCACAAGAAAATTTTGACGAATTCCCTTAACAGGGGACACTCATAGCCGTAAGCACTCGACAAGAAGATCAGACTTAAAAATAGCTCAAAACTCATTCATCACATTCCTTTCAACATACTGACAATCACACGACATCACTCAGTTTCTGCGCCCGAATCACCTCCACATCTTGCCTCCAGCTCTTCATCCGTATCAACCGCCTGCACATCATCAACGTCGGACTTTTCGCTTTCTTCTTCATCGTCAACGTCAGGATCGTCACCTATGAATCTATTCCACCGCTCCAGCCGCTCTGCCTCAGCCTCTGCACTTTCACCGCACTTATCAAAACGTTCACGT